CCCCCCGAACACAAGTCAAGCTTGGTGCATCTCTGATCCCCCCACGGACACCACCTATGGTGCATCCCGCACCGCCAACTTTTCTCACTGACAGTAAAGCGGCTCAGAGGCCACGTCCAGACAGAGAAACCCCAGGCCCAGACACAGACCCAGATCCAGGACTCCTCTGCTGCTTGATCAGAAAGGTCCATATCCAGCATCACGTTCTCTCACACGGCTCTTTTGTCTGTTTAAATGATCAACCAGTTATGCCTCCAGTCAGGAAAGATTGAGCTCTCAAAAGTTCCTAACTGTCTCACCATGAGGTCTGTCCCCTTGCCAAAGGAGAAGAGGCTCAAGGAGGAATCATGCTCAAGGTCAAACAGAGGAACGGAACAACAGATCTACCACCCATCTAATAAAAAACTGATGGACATTATTAGTAAACAGATTACGCAACAGATTATAAATGTTAAAGAGTAATGTTTTCAGACAATTAAAAGATGTATTGATTGCTTGTTAGCAGAGCTCATTTTAAGTGCGGCCACCTTGGCACGTGCCCTGAAACAACAGCGAGCAGCAGCCTCTGTGTGGGGCCTCACACTACATGGAGAAACACACACCAGGTTTCAGCAGACTTTTATTTTGCAATCTGGCAGAGATCTCTGTGAATTCTACCACCTGCTTAACGTAAACATTTCTACGCACCCCTGACAATATAAGCGCACCCTCCATAACATTTCCACCACCCCACCTCCTGAGCGTTCCCTGGTTGCAGAGTCACCGGAATCTTCAAAAGTTAACTGTGCAGAAAAATAATCAGGAAGACCGCCTGACAAGCTGCCTGGCAGCCCCGATGGGTTTAACGAGCCATTTGCGATTCTGCGCTCTCCCTGCTGAGCTGTGTGTAGAGAGCACCGTGAGCTTAGCATGGCACGATGGAGCCGCGCGGATCTGTGATTGGAGGCCTTGCGCTTTTCGCTCTGGCCCTCTGTTAGTGACGACATGCTAATTAAAGCCCCATGATCGGCGAGTCACAGCTCCGCAACGCTCTCCACAGGTCAGCGTTCCCGGGGTGAGCACCTCCACACCGAGGTAGCCGATCATGCCTAAACCGTCCCTATGTGTCCTCCTAGCCCTCGCCCTAAAATAAACCTCAAACCCAGGCCTGAACGTTGTACAATGCGCGGATAATTGGCCACAGATGAAACCGGAGAAGTTCTCAGTCATGCTGTTTGCTGGCGCCGCCTGGGGGGTGGGAGAATCATTACCTCGGTTGAGCGCTGGTATGGATGATCGGGGAGGTGTGGTGGCTTTGTCCAGCGTGACACGTGAACGGCTCTCTGCACACGGCAAACAGCGGTATGATTGGTGAGCTCATGGGGGAGTCCAACCGGGTGTAACAGGTGTGGGTGACCCATCACCCCACCCACGTGCACCATGTGTGCGTGTGTATCTCTGGGCCCGATCCCCTCACGCGTGACCCCGGGGGGGGGCTTTTGTTCCGGAAGTGAGGGACCCCGCCTCGGCGATGTAACACAATTAAAAGTTAGACTCTTCTTTGATAACGGATGTTTGACTAATGTGACAGCCCGCCCAAGACGCCCTCTGTTCCCCGCTTAGTAAACACCTGCCAGCTTTCTGTGGCCATTTATCCACTTTACTCACTGTTGGATCTGACAAAGGGACTGATACATACGCGTGCACACAGCGTGTAGCCTGGCTCCTAATGGGCCCCTACCTTTGATGAGGCTGCATTAAGGGGCCTGACGTTAAACCATCATTCAGGTGATATGAAAGGCATGTTTACTGGAGACCTGAGTCCGCATGCCACTGCCACGCCAGCTTACCCGCGACACGCTTTTGAGAGCTCACCTCGCGCTCCTCCTCCTGCTCCCTCCGGATCTGCTCCTGGCGGACCTGCTCCGCCTCCTCCCGCTCCTGGGCCTCCCTCTGCAATGCCAAACAGCAGCTCATTAAGGTCTTAGCCAGCCAGGGCCCCGGCACCGGATGTGGCTTTGAGGGGCCAAATAAGACCCTTAGCAGGCGGAGTCTGTCATTAGCAGGGCCCTTTACAAGACAGCTGATATCTGAAGTGCTCTCCAGCTGTCCAGCGCCCCATACAGGGATCATTTTCTCCTGGCTTCTTTTCACTTCTACTAAGTAGTCACACTAAGAACAAGTAATTATTACAAAAGAAACAACATTTAACAAACAAATAGTAACATACAAACATGTCCCACCTTCCTGCGGTCAGCCTCCAGTGACAGGCGGTATGCTTCATCCTGCTCTCGCTTCACCATCTCCCTGGCTTCACGCTCATCCTGCAGCAGCAACCGAGGAAGATGAAGCTCGTTAGAGGAAACACAGCAACCCTCTGCAGGTTATCAATGGCACGGCGAGTACAGGGGGCACCGCTGCTCCTGTGGAGTCACGCTGCAGGGAACAGTGGCCACCAGCGTGACGGGTCCCCAGAGCGGGAGCAGCCATAGTGCGGCGGGATCCAGAGCGGGAGCGGCCATAGTGCGGCGGGTCCCCAGAGCGGGAGCGGCCATAGTGCGGCGGGTCCCCAGAGCGGGAGCGGCCAT